AAAAATTGATATTAGTATTAAAAAAATAGATCATTTAGGTTTTTTTACCTTCATCCAGGATCACTTTATCACCAAATATCACAGTTTCAAATTCTTCATAAGCGAGAAGTTTGTTCAAAATATTACTCATAGGCTTCGAACGTGCCTTGTTGTCCATGGCACAAATACCGATGACATCTAGAAAAGGAAGAAAGTTAATGATTGACAACTTTTTGAACACGTTTATTCAGTAAATAACAGACATTTTGTTCTCGTGTTTGTGTTAAATGAAGGCGATGAAGAAAGCATTTGAATATCAGAACATGAATCGGAGGAAGACATCAAGGAAGGGACAGGAGAAAGCAATGTTTATTATAGTGTATGACGAAATCTTTATCTTACGTGCATGCCGGATCTTGCCATCTAAAAAGTTCCATCTCGTTATTTAATAGAGATTGCATGGTCGATATTTTTAGATGGCCAACAAGTCAAGTGAATATGATCCGCTTATGCTAGAACCACGCACCGATGGTTCTTATATTTATGAACAATTTATGAACGTTGATAATGCGGAGGATGTAAAAGTTTATACGATTGGCCCCAGTTATGCTCATGCGGAAACACGAAAATCACCCGTTGTTGATGGATTAGTTCGGCGCAATAACGACGGGAAAGAAGTTCGTTATATCACAACTCTTACGCCTGAAGAAAAAGAGATTGCAAGTGATATTACACTTGCTTTTGGGCAAACGGTGTGCGGATTTGATTTGCTTAGAGTCGATGGACATTCTTATGTCATTGATGTAAACGGTTGGTCTTTTGTAAAGGGCAATGATGAATATTATAGCAATTGTACGCGCATCTTAAGGACCATGTTTCTAAATGCCGTCCGGAAACGGAAAGTTAGTATTGATGCAATACCAAACGAACTTCGCTTTGAAAATTCTTGGCGTCTTAAATCCTTTGTGTCAGTATTTCGGCACGCTGATCGCACCCCAAAGCAAAAGATGAAGTTTAATTTTCGAAGTGATCCATTTATTAAGTTGCTGGAAAGTTCAACCGAAGAAGTTATATTGCGGAAGGAATCTGAATTAAAAAAAGTCTCGAGTGCCGTAGACAAAGCTATAAAATTGCAATGTGAGGACTTGATAAAGTTGAACCAACTCAAAACAGTGTTGCATATGAAGAGTGATCTTCCTGGAACAAAAGTGCAAATAAAACCTTCCTATGACAAAGTTAATGGAACATTTGTGAAACTTCAACTTATTGTTAAATGGGGCGGTGAGGTAATCATCGTTTTTATGTACTGGTCTTTATCATTGATCGATTGAGTGTGTCTAAACGAGTATACTATTAATTTGCATATATATATCCGATTCTAGTTCACACATTCGGCTCGATACCAATCCCGAGATTTGGGAGAAAATTTACGGAAAGATTTATTAATATTAAACAGGGATGTCTTCAACGATGTTAAGATGTATACGAGTTCCGAACGAAGAGTCATAGCAACAGGTATGTTATTGGTTGGAAAAAATATTTTTTCATTTACTTCTTTAATATTATAAGGAGTAATACACAATCTTCAGCAAACATTGTCTTAAGAATCTCGACCAAGAATTAATTCGAACATTCATTTGAAGAATTAATTGTATGTATTCCAAAAATTCGAAAACACTGCTGCTAGAAATTTAATTTTTGTGTGGATATCCGAGTATTAAGCTCATTGCATTGTTGTATAACAAAAACGGTCGATATTACCATATATAGCAAATGAATCTAATAAGAAATTGTATTATTATTCAATAGCTGAAATATTTGCCCGGTCATTTTTGGATATCAATGATATTCCTGAAGAAATTATTGAGACCCGCAAAGAAATGTTAGATGATAGTAACGCAGCTAAAGAGCAAATGGACATTGTAAAAAGCCATTTGTACAGCATTTTTGAACCCGGAGAGACGTCTAAATCTGATTTCATGTGGCCAAGTGACAAACCTGAACCACATATAGTAATCCAAGAGGTTATAGACATAATGAAAAATCTTCGGCAGATAATGCAGGCAAATTTTGAAACCATGGATCATGAAACCATTCAACTGCGTTGGTGTTGCTCCGAAAATCCATCACTTTTCAAGGAGCGCTGGGAAAAATTATTCAAAGATTTTTGTGACGTCGATCGTCAAAAATTTGATCTAAGCAAAATATCAGAACTTTATGACTCAATTAAATATGACGCGTTACATAATCGGCAATTTTTGGAAACTATTTTTACCGATCGAAGCGGGAGCGACAGACCTATGATCAAGGAATTATATCAGCACGCAAAGAACTTATTTGATTTCGTAGCACCACAAGAATATGGAATCAACAATAAAGAAAAGCTTCAAATCGGCCTATTAACTTCAAATTTGTTGTTACAAGGCATAATAAAAAATCTAGAGGTATTTTAATGAATTGTAAATTATTAATGAAAATTATGATTAATAATTCCTGTACTAAAATTCAGGAGTCAAAATCAAGTCCAACGCCGAGTACTAGATTATACTTTACAAAAGGTGAACCTATAACAAAACACTGTTGGTTGATTGACTGATATGTTATATCTCTATCTTATTCAAATCACTAAGCAAATTTATATCAATCCTAATAGAGTCCCATGTGCACACGTTGTTAAATGTTGTATTCTTATCAGGCCTTCCCACAAGAATCTCTATGCATGACATTCCAGAATTAGATTGTAAATATGATAACGATTGTCATTCTTGACTGAAGGTTAATGACTAACAATTTTTTTTATGATATGCAATTTTGAAATTATTCGATGAAAGACCTTACCCAGATCACATTTGAACTCTACGAGCGTCATCGCGGTACAACGGGCGACAAAGAATATTCCTTACGTGTAGCATTTAGTCCAGGTGTACACAATTCAAACATTATGGACTTACATCTTGATGCAAGACACTGTTTAAATGTTGCACCGAGGATGTACGGAAAAAAATTTTTGATTATAAATTTATCTTCGCAATTACATGAATAACATATTTTATTTATATGAACATAGGAATCTCACCGACCACTTGCCCCTTGATGAAGCGCTTTCGTATTATAAAAGTAAAGTTGATGATCCACAATCAGCAGGCGCCGAAGAGAACGTGTCAGTTAAGGGTCTATCGCCACCTATTTTGGACATATCTCATATGAGCAAATCATTTTGAGACTATTTGATTGTTTTATATCTGTTGCGTGATCGAAATATTACTTATAAACTTATTTTATTATTATTTATTTCATATAAAACTGGTAAAGTTATTTTATTTTTCATATTAATCAAATATTTAAATAGTAAATACATATACAGTATATTAAAAATAAAACGAAAATAATTATATTTTTTGTATTATTGTAATTATTTCAAGATACAATGTTATTACGTTTCATAATAACTTATTATATTATTTGTACGGTTTTATTTGGCATATTGCAAATGATTAAAAATTTGAATAGAAATCTTATTATTCATTATTATAAAAATTATTTTAACATTGTGAAAAGTTTTAATATTTTATTTAAATTTTTTAAATTGTAATATATTTAAATATTATATATAAGTTGATAAAATTTTAATTTTAATTATATATTTATTTGGTTAACTAGCTGGGTCTTACCTATAATCTTTATTTAGTTTACATATATATTGCTTGTATTATAGAAATTATTATTTATAAATTATTCTAGATATATATTAAATTATATCAAATTATTTTCATATTGGTTTATTGCTATTAATCCAATTCTGGAGATATTGAATCAAGGGCTAACATGTCAAAATATAATTAGTATTGTTACAAGCAATTAAAAAGATATATAATTTTAAAAAATACTTAATAATATTATTAAAAAACCAAATAGAAATAAAGTACAAGCAACTGCTATGCAATAATAATAAAACCATGGTGTTGGGATATAACTTGTTGAAAATAAAAAAATATTCAATTATTAAAGTATTCTTTCCTTAGTCACAATAAGAGAAAGTCTTGGTATCCTTCTGGCCCTTGCTTTAGTGACGAGGTTGCCTGGTTTACCAGGTGTAAGCAAGGTCCTTCTGGTGTCTAGGGAGATATCTAACCTAGTGTACGACTTACCAGTAGCTTGTGAAGTGCGATATAATTTTTTGTAGATTTATTTTTAATTAAAGAAATTAAGAAAAAATTAAATAAAAAAAATTGAAAGTAGTACTTATATTAACAAATAAAATTCTATAAGAATTATTTTCTAAATTTATATTACTTGCAATTGAATATATTATTTAATTCTATCTTTTTTAAAGTTATTCAAAAATATTCAAGAAATTTATATTATAATTATATATATAATAAAATTGAATTCAAATATTTTCAAAAATTATATTATAGTAAAATTATTATTATTTTTTTTTTGAAGGAACAAATAACTACCATGTTTTATTTTTTATTATAATTTTAAACTTGTAGTTACAAGATTTATAATATGATTAGCATGACATATATCTCTCTTTGCTAGAAAAAGTTAAATATAAGACCTATAATAAGTCATATCTCTAAGTTCCTTGGTACCACTCAAGAAATACAGTAAAATAATTTAAAACCTATATTATAGTCTTGAATAATATCTAGTTATCTAAAAATTAATTTGAATATCTAGTCACATGAAGATACTATAACCACTTTATACAGATTTGCCTCCAAGTCATAAGTAGAACTGGCATGCTTGCTTCTCAAATGTAACTTGATGTTTGGCAGGTAGAAAAGTATTGGGAGTTTTTAATTGGAATTACCTTTTTACATAAAAGTACTGCAGTCACTTTATACAGGTTTGCCTCCAAGTCATAAGAAGAATTTGATACACATATTTTGTAAGTATGGCAGAAGTGTTCCATAGGTAGGATTTTGTTTTGGGTTTCTTAAAGGCATTGATACCTAACCTTGTACAATGAGATCTATATTGTCAGAGAGTAAGTGAGAAACTTTGTTATCATTACCAACTCATATTGCAAAAATAACTAGAATCTCTGGTCTTTATATATTATTCTACTAGGTTTTTCAATCACTAGCATAACACTTGCAGACTAATTTAGCTTATTGTTAACTGTATTGACATTGGCTGCCATATTATTTTGGATACTATAGAATACAACTTCTTGGATACTTTTGGATAATAATAGTTGTATACTGGTTTTTTAGATGTATCTAGTTGAATCATCAATAAATAAACAATATTGGATTAGATAATAATAGCCATATTAATCTTTTGAAGGGGATAAATCATTTATTCTATTTCTGAAGAGTCATGAAAGAAACAAATTTCCAAAACCCATGTTCAATGAAAATTATGCTACTTCTTATATAGTTCTTGAAAAAAAAAAGTTTATTGGCTAGAGAAGTGATGAGATGGAAGACTAAGTTTTGAAAGAAAAGAAAGGCCTAGAGAAAAAAAATCTTTAGGAAAAAGGAAAAACCTTATTTTGACAAGAAGGGAAAAAAAAAGGGGAAAGAGAGAACAAGTAAAAGAGAATTTTATAGAAAATAAGGAAAGAATAAAGAAAGAGGAAAAGAAAAAAGTATAGAAAAGGAAAGAAGAAGAAAAAAACAAAAAAAATAAACAACTCAAAAGTTTCCTGAAAAGGAAATTTTCAAATATAGAAAGGGGAATGGAAAAGAGTTTTTTTTTTACACAAATAATTAAAAATTATTATTTTTTTTTTCCCGTAGTCAAACAAGTACGTACTGTTTATTGAATTTATACAGAAAACAAATAATGTATAATACATTGTATTGCATAA